ATATAATTTGCTAAAACTGGTAGTTCTCATGAGAAAGGATATCAAGCAATTCTTGATTCATCTTTAATCTAAAATCCTTTTCCCTGACCTTGGAATCCTGTCGGTTTTCTTGATCACATGACGTGGAGTGGGCATGTTTGAGCGGGATCTCTTCTACCTAAATGCGGGTGGGAGAAGGTGACGTAAAAGTATGCGACATGGCCCAGGGACAAATCAGATACAAAGTCTACTCTGATGCAGAATGAGAGCCAATGTTCCTGTTAGTGAGGAAAAATTAAACGGACAACAAAAAGTAATGTTTTCACTCTCTTTTTCCTTTATTTTGAGCTTTCCTATTGTTTCATTCATTTGCTTCTGCGGCCTGAATTTTTATTGCATCCTTTATTACCTAAGGAGAGTCTATATTCTGTCTCTTTCCCCTGAGTGGAAAGCATTAGGCAGCCTCTATGGAGCAGAGGACAGAGTGGTCAGGAGGGAGAGATATAATAGGAAAGGAACAATTTGAACACAGATTATTGAGGCCCACTTGCCTGACCAATGAGTTTCAGTCCTAGATTGCTGGGAGGCCCTGATAGCAAGTATCAAGAGGGTTCTACTAAGATTTAAGAAAAAAAAATAATTTGGAACATAGAGTGGCTATCCTCTGGAACATTCAAATAAATCTACCTTCCTTGGAAAGACAGAAAAACATATGCATCCTCCAGTTGAATATAAATAGCTCCAAACCTTGAAATGGCAGTAGCTCTGACTATGAGAAAAAGAAACCCAAAGCTTATGTCATCCTGTGCCTCTGAAACGTGGTCGTTGCTCAAAATATGTACCCACCAAGGGGACTACAGACTTGAACCATTTTTTTGTGGTTGTTGTTCAGCCAAAGTACTTCTCTACTTTCCAGAGAGGCAGAAGGCCAGAAAGAAATCAAGAAGAAGGAGGTTCAACTAGGAGAGGACATGGAAGGGCTACATTGCTAGCACATACAGGCATGTCTCGAAGGTATTGTGGATTCAGGTGCAGATCAGTGTAATAAAGTGAATATCACATAATGCAAGTCATACAATTTTGGGGGTTTCCCAGTGCATACAGAAGTTATCTTATACTGTAGTCTGTTGAGTGTGCAATAGCACATTTGATAAACGATGTACATACTTTAACTAAAAAAGACTTCATTGCTAAAAAATGCTGTCATCTGAGCCTCTAGAGAGTTGTAATCTTTTTGATGGTGAAGGGTCTTACCTTCAATTTATAAAATAATGCCATGTCTGCAAAGCACAATAAAGTGAAGTCTGATAAAACAAAGGTCTGCCTGCACAATGGGAATAGCAAGAAACATGCAGCTAACTCATCCTACAATTTGTGGACAGTCAAAGAATCTTCTGGTCAAGAGAATATTTTTCTACAGAGCGTTTTCAGTGCCCTAGATTTAGGCAGAGAAAATCATTAAAAATAGAAGAAAACTTTGAGATTTGGGAAATGAAGCCTTTACCATTGAAAGGTGAACTAAATTTCATAGTAAAAAAAAAAAAAAAAATCCTCCAGCTTCGTCAACTCCTCAGAAGCAGTCATTTTGATATAACCTTAGAAAAGCCAGTCCACACAGATGCTGTCACATTTATTTCAGGCATAAGAGCCTGGAAGCACACATATTTGTGGATAGGGATGCTTGCAAAGGACTCCTTCTCAAACCATGAAGAAAATGTCATCTATGGAACATTCTCTAAGCAGTCGTCACAAAAACACTTCCTTAAAAATAAGATCTGGTTGAGACAGAACCAATCAAAAAGTAATCTTAGCACGTGTCCTTCCCCAAATGAAACGATGACACCATATGCCCCCAAATGGTTTCGAATATTTGCCTCTTTGGCAGCAGCCAATGGGGCTGATGATTCTCAAAGCCGGGGAAAAGAGCTATAAGGAGAATGCTGATGTAAGCCCCGTTTCTAAGACAGTTGTATACTATATTTATAGTATCAACAGTTTAATTGGGGAGTTTGGTACTAATGATGTAAACACAGCTGGCACGTTTTCAATTTAAATAGACACGACTCATTCGCAGACATAACTAGCATTTGTTTGCTCAACATCAATGTGCAGCAGCGTTCCACAACGTCTCGGAATCCACGCGAGGTGTCGTGGTGCCTGTATCATGAACACAATCTGGAAGCTGACAGGCACACAGGTGGGCAAATATGTAGCGGGCATTTTTAGACATTCTCAGATCGAGTAAAGTTTCACTGTGAGACTGTGAAAAATGTTCAACGGATACAGCACGAAACACCAAAGTAAAGATTAGTTCAAAGAGTGTACAGAGAGGCTAAGAAAAGACATCATTTGGGTTTTCTTGGGGTCGACTTCGTGTTTAGGATGCAGATCTAGGAAGCACGATGCCATGTCCAAAAAATGGCTTGACTACTTATAATGTCACAGTAGATGGAAACCTGGCATTAACGTCGAAGGTGCCGATATCTCCATTTTACTACTAAAAGGTGATCATGGAAGCTTCTTTTGCATGTTCTAAGAGTCATGTGATCTGTTTTTTGGTGGCTATAAAGGAAAACTTCAGTAGATCACATGCATGCTCAGAGCATCTGTGTTTTGATAACAAGGGTACTGTGCAAATTTGAAACCTGTACTGTACTCGCTGAGCAGCTATTTCTGAAAACAACTATGTGACAGAATATGTTGTATCCGTGGTCTGGATATATTAGAACCATCTCCCTCACCCCAAATCCAGACATGCTTAAAATTTGAATATTAGGTGAAATTACACTTTGTATTTAGGAGCAAGACATTGTAATTAATTTGGTGGAAATCTACACATTCTTTCAATGGGATCATCAAGAACTCCATGTAAAGGAAGTACAGGCTTGTGAATGATTCCCGGAATGAAGACAGAGCTCAAGAAGAAAGTAGCCAGGCCAAGACCAACGTTCCATCCACTGAAACATCCAGAACCAGTGCCCCTGGATCTCATATGTCAGAGCCATTCACTCGCACCTCAACTGGTGTGTGGAGAAGATTCTGCTTTGGATATTGTGGCCACATAACTTTTCAACCAAGGAAAAGTACCATCTTAAAAGAAAAAACAAAAAAAGAAACCTATAACGAGCTAGAAGATGTAATGACAAGCACTGAAACGAATGCCTCCAAAAAAGGAAGAGAGTAAGGAACGTGAAGTGCCCAAAGCGTGTGGTGGAAGAGAGACAACCAGAATCGCAACGACGAGGCACCGAAGCCACAGATTCGACATCAAATGTGACGCACCTGCTGTAATCATGAGGCCTGCAGAGGCTGCAAAACTTCATGATTGAATTATTCATGGCTACGGAAGTTATGCCAGGGTTTTAGGCAGTTTGAGAAAGGAGGATGCTTTTGTTGCCTTGTGGCGTTTTCCGTTTGAAATCTCCATGGCCGTATTTAACAGAAGAGACAAAGGAGAAAAACACGCAGATCTTTGAGAGATTTTTTTGTTGTTGTTCTCTGTAATTGCCCTTATTGTAGCTTCTGCCAAAGTGAAGGGACAAAGGGAAAATAGACGACCGAGAGGAGAGAAGGTATCTCATGTACGAATGACTTAGAAAATACCTGATTGGCGTTAACATGTAATTTCTCCAAGTAACTATAACCCAAAAGAGGAAACCCTGCTAATTCTCTCACCTGAAGTGTGGGAAGCTAATGAGAATGTTGACAGATAGCTACCTTTCAATGTGATTTATGGCGCTAAATGTGGCACATAACCAGAATGGGTTTGCCACCACCGACGTTTGGCCAGGAAGAATCTATATATTATTATATACTACATACATACATGCATATATATACATATACATATGTGTGTGTGTGTGTGTGTAGTATATGTGTGTGTATATATATGTGTTATAAAATTCCATTCTTCAGAATGATGGTTGTAAGCCAAAGAGGCCTCAGATTTATTGCTGAGTCCAAGAATTTGTATCTGCCCAATAAATTTTATGGGTGAAGCCTACGAAAAAGATCTTGCATACTTTTCTAAATGTTGTTTTGATAAACAAAATTACTTTCTGTATTTTTGAATGCATGCTGAGCTTTCTTAATTCATAGATAGTAAGTGTAACTATCATCTTGTCAAACTGACATCTTGTCAGTTGATGGACAATTCTGACTTTTACAAAAAGCGGCTCTGAAGCCAGCAGATTTTTATCACGTTTTGACAACTGGTTGTACGATCGATCTTTTGGCATGGTTTTACTCTGTGCCACCCGCCCTACGCCTGTGACAGCAGAGAGGCTCAGATATTCATGCACGCAGGATCCCTTTTTCAAGAGCCCTAGCCGTGAATACTTTGAATGCCTCTCCAACTTTGCCATGCAGCTCTCTGATAACTTTCAAGATAACCCAGATGACCAGGGAGGAAGCAGCACCCTCAGGGGTGGGAATTGGGGTGTGCTGGGACGAGTGACACCATGAAAGAGCAGGAGATGGTCATTAAGACGACCAAATTCAAAGCCAACATCCCAGTGACACTTGATGCGTAAAGATGGATACAAGTGCCAGACGTCTTCCTAACCTGATGTGGCAAAAGGAATCGAATTCTTCTGGCTGCCCATCACTCAAACCTGGTCTCACCGCTTTACACACGCTTAACCCCCACTTTCACTTGGAATGCTCTGCACTTTTCAAAGTCATCTTTGACCTGAAAGTGCCCAAGGGTATCTCTGTTCTGCAAGAGTTAGAGGGCTGAACTCAAGGTTATTACCAAATGAGAGAGATGAAAGAGCAGAAGCTGACCTTTTCCTCGGAAATGTCAAGATTCAAGCCTGGGTCTCTTAAATATGAGGACGCTTGTTCTGCTTTTGTGTCAAGTGCGGACTTGATAAACATCATGCATGTTAAAGAAATAAAAGGTGCGAGCGAACCCCACAATTACAGAGCAGCAAGCCAGAGCTCCCTTTTTTATTTGGGGAATGAGATCTACTGTGATCAGAACAAGGCATTAAATGTGGGCTTTTTCTTATTCTTTTTGTCATATTTGCATCCCTCCAAAAACTCTTAGAAGAACAAGCTCTAGGCAGCCAACCTTTACTCTAAGTCGAATGTTAAAGATGCCCTTCTGTTCATGGAACCCACACGTACGTCCCACCAATGCTGGGATGTCACAGATAAACAAATAAACTACATTTGCAAACAGGAATGATACCCAAGCCCATCACGGCTTTGTCCTTTGGTGGAACTGAGCCCAAAGAAATGGCAAACTCATTCTTTCCCAAGGTGGATAGTGTAGATTTCGTCCAGAAAAAGGATTTGGGTCATGAAGTCTCATGAGGAATCAACCCTATCATTTATTTCCACTGGGTTGGTGATGGCTTCCAGCTCACTCTGTATTTTGCAGTGGTGCCTGGGAGAGTCAGTCATTTGTGGCATGCAACATCACAATAAGAACCACTGTCGGCAGTCATTCCAGGAGAATGTACACTGCAGGATGCAAGTCAGACTTAGAAATCTCTAGATTTTTTTGTTCTGTTCTTTTTAAATGAATTTTTATGCAGAATTGAATAAATGCACAGTGCCTGGGAAAGACCAAGGTATGAAGGCATATGTCATGATAATTTGGCAATTGCAATAGCAAGACGAACCAAGATGACACATAATGTTTATTTGAGCCATGACATGGGGTCCTGGGTCCCTCAGTTTGGAATCATCAATGGGCTTGTTTTAACAGTGTGTTATCTGGGAGTTCATTTTCCATTTGCCCGTCAGGTTACTAATTAGGAGGAGACCATTGGCAAAATGAAAACACGGTGGACATAAGCAAAGAAATTTATATGAAATTCACAAAGCGATCCCAGCTGCAATATACCCACAGGCTAGAGTTTTAAAATCCCCCTTTTTCCCCCGTAGGTAAATGTCTCACCTTTGTATCGTAAATATCGAGAACTTACATGGAGGAAAGGGCTCCGGGGTACCCCAGAGTGCGCACTGCAGAGGAGGAAGGGGGTACTTACGCCAAACATTTGTCGGAGGTCCGGGTCTCGAAACCGGAAGGGGATGTTGGAGACGTGCAGCCGCTTGGGCTGGGACTTGTTTTCTGTGTTTTCCGAAGGTTGTGTCTGGGGCTGGCCATCCGTGGGCGCTGCGTCATCTGTCTGCTAAAAGAAGAGCAAAGCGAAGAGGCTCTGAGTGCTCCCCAGTGCTCTTTTCCAGTGTGCTTTTGCACACCTGACGTGCTGGGAAAACGCCAGAACGAGAAGGAGCTGCTGAGTCATTCATTCATTCATTCATTCATTCATTCATTCAACAAATAACTACTAAACATCCAACAGTGCCCGTCATGGATCTGGCCTTCAGCAGTAACCGAGCAAAGATCTCCGCCCCTAGAGAGAATAATTCTCACGGGAGAAGTCAGACAATGAACTCGTTAGAAAAATTACATGTGGAGTTGCCCGAGGGAATAAACACCATGGAGAAAATAAAGCGAAGGGAGGGGCTAGTTGGAGCTGGGGCGGGGGAGGGAGCAGAGTTTTAACAGTTAATCAGAGAAAATTCCATCAAGAAGAGGCTAATATAAAGGTAGGAGAGGGTGAACCCTTTAACCGAGGTTGTTCAAAATCTTAAGATGTACCTACATAATTGTTGAGGCTGTGTAGATAAAATACTAGTAAACATAGTAAAACATTTGAAAAGGCTGCTTGGTAGTCTGCAGGCCAAATAACCATCTGATTGCCTTAAATATTTTTATGGCCTGCACTTTTTATTTCTTGATCGTGCGGACCTGCTCTCCCATCACAGTTGGCCCCATATGGCTATTTAAATGTACACAAATTAAAATTAAATTAAATGTTTCCCATTCACACTGGCCACGTTTCAAGTGCTCAGTGGCCACATGTGGCCGGTGGCTTCCATACTGAACAAGTAGATCTAGGACATCTCTGTCACTGCTGAAGGTTCTATCGCACAAGCTGGTAGAGACAACGTGACATCACCGGCACACCTCATGGCTCTGCTTCCTACTCCACCCCTCCCAAATATAAGCCTGGATAACATGCTATTGCATTGATGTCCATATATAGGCAGGAACTAGAAGAAAAGTCACAGTAACGTAACTTTGGTATCATTATAGTCATTCCCATGCTCTGGGTTCTAGAGTTTTGGCATTCCAGAGATGCTTCACGTCTAGATACTTTCTCTGCAATTAGCACTCCCTGCCCCCAGGTGGCAGTAGATGCCATCTGCATCAGATACCTGCTTCTCAGAAACCAAGATGGAAAACCCAGGTGGAAGCCCATCAAATTTATGAGCAAGGATTTGTTTTCACCTAGTTATAAGGAATTTAGAAGCATATGACTGGGACAAAACTATCAATGCAGGCAGCCAGGTATAAAATAATAAAATCTTATAAAGTGGAAAATAATAATTATATGTATAATTATACACACACACACACACACACACACACAAATAACATCGGCATAATTAGCGACTTTCTCATTAACCCCTTGTTAACGGGCAGATTTCATTTGCATTCTCCATCCGAACACACCCTGAATTGCATTTCGAAGTCTAGACCTCCTCGTGGCTGGCACATGACGGGTGCAAGCTGGTTTGGTACCAAAAGCCCTATCAGATGACTTCATTGACTTTCAGGTGCAATGTCATGACAACAATGACATACTTGGCTGTTTTGCTCATGCTGTTGGAGTGAATAAGAAGGATGGGGATAGTTTTCTAGTCTGGAAAATGAACAATAACAATAGTGCTCACTTTATAAGGCCCTGTGAAGACCAAACACAATAACGTACACCAACGTGGCCGAGTTTTTGGCACGTGGTCTATAGTCAATAAGTGAAATGTAATACATTTTGTAGAGTGCTAATTTTTGTTAATGTCAAAATAGAGGTGTAAGATGCCTCTCTCAGGAAACATAAAAAAGGTTCTCATTTGCTTATCAAACACCTCTTTACTGAGCAACTACTGTACACAGGACACAGAAGTCAGTCCTCCAAATCACTTGTCGTTCCCAGTTTAGTGGACGATAAAGAGTTAGAAAAAGATACACTGTTTTGTTTGTAAGATACACTGTTTAGTGCTGGGATGAGAGTGAATCGCAGAGGGCTGAGTAAACTCAAATCCGGGACACACGGCACAGCTGGAGGTTCCGTGAGGCTTGGCAGCTCTGTGGGTTAAATCTTAAGCGGGGGTGTCTCAGAGAAGGGGTGAAGGGGATTGAGGCTGTACCAGCAGGCGGAGAAGCACAGACAAAGACGCAGAGAGTTGAAACCGTGTTCGGGATTCGGGCAGTGAGTCTGTGTCGACCTTGGTGTCGCCAGTCAGGGGAGGGGCGTGGATGGAGGCACAGGAGACCACCTTGCAGAGGTAGGTGAGGGATCATGAAGGGCCCTGTGTGCAGAGCAAGAGTGTACGATTCATCCTACAAGGTGTGCGGAGCCACGGAAGGGTCACAACAGGGTGTAGCATGACCAACACGTGACACAGAGGGTGAGCTGAGCTACATGACAAACGCCTGTAATTCATCCTACAAGGTATGTGGAGCCACGGAAGGGTCACAACAGGGTGTGGCATGACCGACACGTGACACAGAGGGTGAGCTGAGCTACATGACAAACGCCTGTTTAATGGCTGGCTGACTCACTGGCTGAATGGGTGAATGGATTACGAGTGTATGAATAAAGGATGAAGGAATGAGTGATCAACTCGTCACCTTCAAGGAACAGCCGAAGAACAATGTTATAACACGAGACCCAAAGAGAATGGAAACTGTGTTTTCTCTGCTGGTAACGTGAGGTTTGGTGACATATCCATGAGATGTAAATGACCTTGAATCATGGGACTGTCACTTTTTAGAGGGGTCTTAGTACTCTGAGTTTGCAGAAGCAGAAACTGAGACCGAAGTTTCTAGCACGCTTTTGCCTTCCTGCTAAAAATTGCTGTTTAAATGCAAATTGTCACCAGCTCCTTCTCGTCCCAAGAAGGAAACTTAGATTTGGATTTGTGCAGAACTGCTGGATGTTTCAGCTTAATAAACCTAATTAGGAATTACAGAGATTATGATTAAACATATTAAATGATTAATAGCATTACGCCGCTCATGTGAAAATTAAAATTAATCATCTTTAGTCAAACAGGACTTTGGAGAAATCTTTGTGTTTTTTCCTTTGATAAAAACATACAACGCTCAATTAATCATTTTGTAGCGTGCGCGTATACACAAACACCCATAAATTGTTATGTCGGAATACCTGTGTGTTAAAAGTAATTTTTAAAGATAACGTGTAAAATAAAAAAAATACATCAAAAATGTTTCAGGCATTTGCAGGTGAACAGAAAGGATAGGATGTCAGGATCCAGCCGTTGAGAAAGAAAAACAGAAAAGAATTTTTTTTTTTTTTTTTCCCAGATGGAGCATCCCTGTTTCTATGGCGTGATGGAAGGTAAAGGACGAGATCGTGGTGGGGACACATGAGATGGGAGGTGAACAGAGCAGCTTCTACAGAGCTGCAGGCACGTGATGGGGTTACGCCCTGGGGAGTGACCCTTCCTGACTCGCATCCTGAGGATGCTGGGGTGTGAGCTTTCTCGTTCCCCTTTTCTGAGAACTTTCGAGGACGACATATTCAGAACACATCCATGTTCTACATCCCTCTATTGGTCTCCTAGAAAAATGACCGCAAACTTGGTAGCCAAATGCAACAGAAAGGTATTCTCTCATAGGTGAGGGGCCCACAAAATCTGCAATGACGGTGCCACGCTCCCTCAGGGGACTCTAGGAGGAGACCCTTCCTTGCCTCTTCCTACTTCTGGCAACATCTGGACGGCGTCTCTCCGCTCTCTGTCTCCGTGTTCACGTGGCCTTCTTCCCTCGGTGCGTCTGGGACTCAAATCTCTGTCCGTCTTTTTCTCTTTACAAGGACCTTAGTCATTGGTTCTAGAGCTTGCTGTAAATCCAGGGTGATCTGAACTGCAATCCTGAACTGAATCACATCTGCGAAGACTCTTTTTCCAAATACGTTGGCACTCCCAGGTTTACAAAGTTCGAGACATGGCCATACTCTTTGAAAATTATCGTTTAACCCACCACGGCCCCTTATAAGCAAACAAAGAAACCACAAGTGGGTGTGGAATGAGTAGCTGTTCTCAAGAAGTGAATGCATTTCCTACTGCTTCAGGCCGTGTGGGGCTCTCAGAAGGGTGGGCCTCAAACCAGGTCCAGAAGAAGGAAGAATGTCCACCCCTGCCAGAGCTTCCGTAGGCTCCCATCTGTCACACTGGGCACTTGAATAAGGTCCCACAATAGACAGAAGACTTGAGTCTTCCTTTACCTACCCAGGCTCGCAGACTGCCTTTCTTCCGCACCTGCGACTGGACTCAAGGATTCTGGCTGAGAAGTCCCCCAGCAGCCCCCCAAAGCTGTCAACACTCACGAAGGGCAAGGACCTGCCTGCAGGTTCCCCGAGCCCAGTGCCGTACATCACATGGATGGATTAAGTCAGCCCCGTCTCTCTGAGAGGCTCATTGAAGCTGATGGCAGAGACACAGAATAAAATATCGAAGGACAAGAATAAAATGATGTGGAAGCTGCTCGTGGGACGAAACTTCTAGAACGTGTGTTTCTGGAAGGCGGAGACTATGTGGTTTGCAGCTGCCATCCCCAAGGCTGGGTCATGTCGAGGCGTTAAGTGGGAAGTCACCGCCAAAGGAACAACTCTTGGCCCGGGTCTGATTTTTAAAAGTCATTTAGGCTCCGAAGTGGGACCCAGCTGAATTGAAAAGCACCTGATAACCAGGTTTGGAAGCTCAGAAGGTGAGCGAGCAGGTCTTCTCCCAGACATCCCCTATCAGAGAAGTCGTCCCTGGCCCTGGTAGCTAAACCGGCCACATCAGTACCTCGGCTGCCCTCGCCCATGGATTTTTTCTCCATGGCTCATGCCGCTTCTTATCTTTATGTTACATGCTTCTGTTCATTTGTATAGTGTCTGTTTTCTCCATTATCCCTGCGTCCTAGAGCAGAGTTTCTCATTGATGGAACTAGAGACATTGCAGGCTGGTTAATTCTTTGAGGTGGGGCTGTCCTGTGCACTGTAGGGTGTTCAGAAACATCCCTGGCCTCCACCCACTGGATGCTGATGTCTAA